AGTCATTATGGGAGAGACTGCAGAGGGGGGGTCGTCGGGGGACGACAACGAGCAGCGGACCGTGGAAGCCGGAGTAGGTGATCGATCGGAGTCTGTGGCAGGGCTCCGTCATGCGACTTCCTAGTCGTCCACAGGTGTAGTCGGCCTCCGTCAAACGACGATCGAGGATAACGCTGCTGTGATCAGGGGGCACGAGCAAACACAGTGCACGGTGGATGACTGGATGACGGCAGAATGCATCCCGTTCAACATGATGCGGAGCAAGTACTGCGACAGAATGGTGCATGCCCTCATGAACGCGCCCAAAGGATTCCGGTACGCGAAATTCAAGAATGCAAGGACGAAGAGGGTTGAAGTGACGAGGGGGAGGGTCACGAAGAGGGTGGAGGAGTTGTGGCAGGAGTGGCCAACCACTGGCTGCATGTTGCAGCTTGATGGTTGGACAGATCGCCGATAGAGACCACACATCAACGTGATGGTCTCCTTCTCGAAGGGCTCTATCTTTTGGCGAAGTGTGTGCATGTCACAGCGCAACAAAGGCACCTCAGCATACTATGGCATTCTGAAGAGGGCAATAGAGGAGATAGGCGTGGATGGAGGCAGTGGTGGGGGTCGTTATGGACAATGCTGCCGTTTGTGCAGCTGCGGGGCGAATGGTGGAAGCAGATTACCCGTACATCTTCTCGGTCCCATGCACAGAGCACTCGCTCAACCTCATTTTCGAGTCTTTCGCGAAGATCATGTGGGTGGGCGAAGTTATTAAAAGGGCGTCAGAGGTAGCAAAGTTTTTCACGAACCTTTCGCTGGTGCGGGATCTCCTCATCCACTACTCCAATGGCGGTGTCGTGGCAAAACTGGGTGCGACCTGATTTGCCACGAACTTCATCATGTTGTTGCAAGGGTTATACTTGCCGCTGTGAGCATGTGTAACAGACGATGACTGGAAGCCATCGATCATGCACACTTCGCAACACGAACTGATTGTGAGGGTGACGCATTCCATCTTCAACGACACCTTCTGGGCAGATATCGAGAAGGTGATGCAAACGTCCAAGCACCTCCTCAAGCTTATGAAGTTGGTCGACGACACTGGTCAGCGCAAAAGTAAGGTGTATGCCCGTATGGACAGCGCAGTGGAGAAATTGAGGGAGAGCACGCACTTTACAGAAGCGGAAAAGGATGAGCTAGAGGCTATCATCATGAGGCGCTGGAATACAACGACTTCACCACTGCATTGCTGCGGTGTTTTTGGATCCGGAGTATAGAGCGTCGCGGCCGGAAACGGATGCAGAGATTGTAGACGGGTTTTGGACATGGCTTTACTCGTGGTGCAAGGAGGCCGCGTATATGGAGGTTGACGAGGAGGTCTGTTCTTGGATCGAGGGCACCGGGAAACACACAATCGAAAATGCAAGGACACAAGCCCGTACGGTGCAGCCGGCGAGGTGGTGGCGGAAGTGGTGCAGTGACATGCCCATCCTCCAAAAGCAAGTTGTTCGCCTCCTTGGACAAGCCTCCTCCTCCTCTAGTTGCGAGAGGCATTGGAGCTTGTTTGAACGGATTCATAGCCGTCTCCGCAACAATCTTGGCGCCATCCAGATAAGCACGCTGGTTTTCAACAGATGGAACCAGCACTTGTTGGACTTCTTGACCAAGAAACCGAAGGCCGACGATTCAACGAAGTGGGAAGCGGATGAACCGGTGGAAGATCTCACACGAGATGAGATGGCGTCGGATGCACGCCTACGGTTGGGGGAGTGGCGTGCCCGGTTGCGCGGAACACATTCGGTTGACGACGAAGGTGAGAATGACAACTCGGGCTCCGACGAGGAGGACACTCATGTCCAAGCACAACAAACGGCTGTTGCGGAGGAGGTCACAGTTCAACATCGTCGGCTGCGCAGCGATTTGTTCGAGCTCGAGAGGGAGCGCAACGAGTCGTGGAGGAAGGCCACGAAGGCTTCCAAGTGTTTGGCCCGACAGCATTTGCATGACTTGCATCAGGCTACATGACCCTCGACCATGCCAACAAGTACAAAGCTGCGGTGGCTGCTGCATGTGGACCACCCTCCGTACCAGCCAAACGAGGGAGAGGGAGTCCTCAAAAGGACGTTGCGACTCATGGAGGGACAGGTGATGAAGAAGCTGAGGATGTGGAAGGTGGACATTTGGAAGGGGGTCCTGCACCCGCACGGGCGACAAGAAAGCGAGGACGGCCGTGGAAGGCGCCCGTGGAAGAGGAGGAGGCTGGAACTAGAAGGGGGACACGGAAGCGGGGACGTTTGCAGATGCAGCCCGTCGAAGAGGAGGAGGAAGCAGCGCGGACAAACATGGCAGCAGCGACGGAAGCAGCAGCAGCGACGAAAGCAGCAGCAGCGACGAAAGCGGGGCTGAGCATGATGAAAATGACGGGAGCGGTCGCAGCGGAGGTGCGCCTGATGGCAGCGGCAGCAGCGATGAAAGTGAAGGTGGTCGTGGCAGCAGCGACGGCGGCGAGAAAGATGGGAGGTCGTCGGAGGAAGAGGACGACTCCGAATGCGAAGGCCCGAAGGAAGATGGGAGTTGGTCGGAGGCAGAGGACGACTCCGAACGACTCCGAATTACAGCGCAGTCAGACATCGCGCTGAAGAGAGAGAGAGAGAGAGAGAGAGAGACCATTTTCGGATGTGTTTGCTGAACTTTCTTCTGTTGAAATTTGAAAATTGACATTTTTTGCTGGAATTCGTTCAACAGCTGAACTCTTTCAAGTTTTGCATTCAGAAGGTTCAAACTCGTCGGACGAAGAGGACGACTCCGAATTACAGCGCAGTCAGACATCGCGCTGAAGAGAGAGAGAGAGAGAGAGAGAGAGAGAGAGAGAGAGAGAGAGAGAGAGAGAGAGACCATTTTCGGATGTGTTTGTTGAACTTTCTTCTGTTGAAATTTGCAAAATGACATTTCTTGCTGGAATCTGTTCAACAGCTGCACTCTTTCAAGTTTTGCATTCAGAAAGTTCAAACTTCATTTGCTTGTTGTGCCTGTTAAATGTGTTTGTTGAATGTGTTTGTTCAATCAACTTGAATGTGTTTGTTGAATGTGTCTTGTTAAGGCCTTGCACTGTCTGTTTTTGTTGAACTTTGTCGTGTTTCTAATGTGTTTGCCCAACAGTCCAACTTCGTTGATCACTTGTTTAATGAACTGTAGACAGTCTGATGTAGGTGCTCCGCCACGAAGTGTGAACCAGGTGAGCTTCCTCCCCGCCTTTTTTTTTTTTTCCGGACATTTCGTCCCTGCCAACACAGTCCGGACAGTCCGGCGTCCCGGTGATGTCCGGACTGGTCCAGACACAGGTCCGGAAAACGGTCCGGAAGTGTCCGGTGTCCGGGTCCGCGATTACCATGATGCACATCATCCTTGTGCATTGGCATTTAGTGCCATTTACCATGATCACAACAACGGGCCCGAAAGAGACAAAAGACTCTCTCTCTCTCTCTCTCTCACACACACACACACACACACACACACACACACACACACACACACACACACACACACACGCGCGCACCCGTGATGAGAGTTTGTTCATCCGCCCGTGAATCTACACAGGGCCACAGGCCCCCTGCCCCTCGCTGAGCCTCCTCCTCACCCTCGTACACTGTCCGCCTGGCCCTTTCTTGACCTCTTCCTCTCCCTCGCACAAACTTCTCCCTCCTCGCATGCGACCTCCTCGTCCCCTTGTGCATTTTCTTCCTTCCTTCCTCCCTTCCTCCTGCGACCTCCTCCTCCTCCTCCCCATTCGACCTACTCCTCCCCTTTGTGCGGTCTCATCATTGATTCCTCCTCCTCGCACAATCTCTTCCTCACCCACTCACGACCTCCTCCTGCCCCTCTGACGACCTCCTCCCAACCTTGTTTCGACGTCCTTTTCACCGCCGCCTCCACCTCGCACAACCTCCTCCCCCACAGGCAACCTCTCCTCCACCTCATGCGACGTCCTGCTTCCCCTCGCGCGATGTCTCCCTTCCCCCTCACGCGACCTCCTCCTTCCCCTCGCACAACCTCCTCCTCCTCTTTGTGAGACTTCCTCCCGCTCTCACAACCTCCTCCTACCCCTCCTGCTTCAAGCCTTGACCGAGCAACCTCCTCCCCCTCGCGCAACCTCCCCCCACCCCCCGTGCGACCTCCTCCTCCCACTCTCTCGACCTCCTCCTCCCCCTCATGCGACCTCCTCCTCCCCTTCATGCAAGCTCTTCCTCCCCTTGCACGACCAGATCTCGCGATCTCCTCCTTGCCCCCATGCGACCTCCTCCCCTCATGCAACCTCCTCCTCGTGCCGCCGTGTTTCAAGCCGTGACTTGCAATTGCGTGCCTTATTTCCATCCAGACCGGGCACACTGTGTGCTTGTATTCGAAGACCGCCCGAAAGGAAACCTGCGCGGACATGCAAAACGGCAGCAAAAAAACAAGCACCAAAAAAAATAAAGGGAGCCAAAAAACATCCCCCTGGGAGCCAAGCCAGAAAATGATGAAACGAACTGCTGCTATGTGCTGGTACTCGAACATGAGGCTTTGCGCGGTCAAGCGCGTTTCTGTCTGATTCTTCGGGGGGAAAGAAACAACAGTCCTCTGTTGGGACACCACCCTGCCCCACGCAGTTCCGTTTCCCCGCGCCTTTTTCCTGGGCCTGCACGAAACGTTGCACGGGCCCAGGTTTGCTTTTAATAAGATAGAGATAGAGAAAAAAACAGAAATTTTGCAACATCTACTTCGCCCGCAAGAACACAATGTCATCTGCATAAGTCACAACCTATCTGGGGCCTAAAACAGAGAAATGGGAAGGGGGGGGGGGGGGGGGGGGGGGTGGCGGGGAGAATGAGAGGTGAGGACACAGGGGCCTGATAAAGAGGAAAGGGCCACAACATCACAAACTGTTACAGCGTAAGGGCGGATGGCAACAGAGTGGCAGAGACCAGGTATCGTCTGCGCATCTAGACGGGTATATTCACATCTGAGACCCTTACCCTGGGCGTGCCGGGGCCCCATGAGAAGCTGTAGCTTATCTTCACACCACCTAATCATCTTTGTCACTTGGTCTGTTACGCAGAAAGGCTGCACAGACAGAAAGTAAAAACAAAAAAATAGTATTTTTTTTTCTGTACAAGTCTTTGTCTTAAAAAAAAAAAGAGGAAGAAATCGGGTCCATCGTCCCTTACATCCAATTCACCCACTCAACACCTCTCCCCGTTATCATTGGGAGAAGCTGAGACAACGGCTTTAATTTCAGACGTTGCTTCGTGCCTTGCCACGTCTGGTCTGGTATCCCACCTACACCTCGCGTTCACTCTTCCACTTTGGAAATACCCCTCCTACACCCCTGGTCCCTTTCTTTAATCCAAGACGACATTTCCACTAATAATAGTAATAAATGTCCCGACAAGCTTAGATCAGGGCCTATTCACACCTAGGACCTTTTCTTTTTTTTTGGCTAGTGTGAGTATGCCCTCAGTTTGTACACCCATGAACTGTTGAAATACAGACCCCGCAAGTTCAAAGTCCAGATGCAATCAGATGAACAGAACAAAATGATTATGAATCACCTGGGGCATGGTCCCACTAGCAGCCGAATAGGATAGAATAGAGTTTGTGTGGCAGTTGAGTGACCCAAATCCTGCCGTGCAGTAGCCGTGATCCCACGGTCAGTGTTTTACATGTATTACCCGAAAAAGGAAGGAGATCTTGGTTCCCCTCCTCCTCTCCTTAACACTGGGCATGCCGGTGCAAAGGAAGCTTCCCACCAAAATCTTTTCAATCCGTTGGGGGCATGGCCAACCCTAAAAAAAAGCCGGTCGGCCATAGGCCCACTGGATAGAAGATTTTCAGTATTTTGCTTGCTGTTGTGCAATTATCTCATTGGGTGGAGCC